GGAGTAAGTTGTATCCCAGTTGACTATGTATTCCTGGATGGGGACATTCATTTTGCGACTTCTTGTTCTGTTTGGTGTCCAAGCCCACTCTGCTGGATCAAATTCCAAGTCTTGAATCGCCATATCTATTCTGAAGACTGTTTTTGGCCATAATCCCAACACTCTTACTTTTTTGGGTACAAAAGGGTTTAGGACTGTTCTTTCCACCTCCTTATTCAGGATAGGTGGGAGGGCTTGCATGGAGGGGGTAATTGGGAAAGAGGTAAACACCGCCAGGGTATCCGACCCTTGCTGTTTATGGGAAAATTGATAGGCCCTTGGGGGGGGTAGATCCTGCACCCTCACTCCCATTCACCCGATTTCCAGGTTGAGGGTTCGTTCAACAACTCCTTCCAGCCTTCTGGGATGGAGTTGATGATGGATTGTAGATTCTCGTCTCATCGATGACATCCTTTGAGCTGGGAGGCAAGTTCCTGTTCTGACACCCAGTCCATTTTCTCCTCGTTCCACAGATGGCTCACTTTTCAAACTCCATGTTTGATCCACGATAGCCATCTCCTTCCTCTAGGCTTAAGGGATAGTTGGTGATCACTTTCGTCTCCCGCCCGGATTACCAAACAGGGGTTGCCTCAGTACCTCGTCTTTGGATTTGGGTCTACCCACCTTCTTTGGCATGACTTCCCGCCATATCTGTAGCAATGCAGTCCAATATGATGTGGGGGGCCTGGCCATGTTTGGACCGGTTCCTCTTCATTGATTTCTGTGCCCTGTACTTGGGCTCCATTCCTTGGTCATTACCCAGAATAGACCGGACATATTTGCAGGTGTGGTTGTACGTGCTAGGCCCCTGATGCTATCCAAGGCAAGTTTATTCCATGTTGTACCAGGTTTAGTCAGTAGTTTGACTATCCATTTAACTCGTAAGGCTTTGGTTTCCTGTTTGGAGTCTATGATGCCAGGAACTCCTCTGGCTGGTTTCCTTGTGATGTAATGTCAGGCTATCTTTGGTATGCAGTTCTCTTTGTTGGGGTCGCCCGACCACAAGTATGCTCTTGCTTTACGGTTAAGTTCCTTGATTGTATGGTCCGGACTGTCAGTACCATGTTTGTTTGTTTGTTTGTTTGTTTGTTTGTTTGTTTGTTTGTTTTTGTTTGTTTGTTTGTTTGTTTTTTTTTTTTTTTTTTTTTTTTTTTTTTTTTTTTAATGCAGTGGGAAGTACAAAGCATTCCCCCTCCCCCCCCCCCAAAAAAAAAAAGAAAAAAAAAAAAAAAAAAAGCATTCCCCGGGATTGTCCGTAGGTGCCAATTTCTGTTCCCATGTCCAGCACCCGTGTTGTGCAACGGACAACATAGATTCCCCCCCCCCCCCAAAAAAAAAAAAAACATAGACTTGGTGTCAGTGGGCTCTGCTCCTAAATCTTTCGATCCCGAGTGATCGCTCGATCCAGAGGGAAGCACAAGGCATTCCCCGGATGCTCTGCAGGTGCATTTTCTGTTCCAATGCCCCGACCCTCTGCCCAGGTCCCATTGGCCAGAGTCTATTGTCTTTCTCACCGCCTGCGTAGCTCAGTGGTCCAGCTGCCAGCTGGGTGGAGGTGGTGGTCTTTGGGCCTCGTTACACTACTCGCCAAATTGGAAAAAAAAAAAAAAAAAAAAAAGGTTAATGTATATGCCCGTGCAATGTGTCAAGATACATAATCATATCCGTCATTTTTCACGTTTGGCCAGTGCTTGGGATTCGCTGCCACTACTCTCTTTCCCTGCATTTTCTCTCTGCACAGTGCCTGCTACGGGGCCGGGTAGAGTTGGAGTTTTTTTTTTTTTGGAGAAACATAGTGCTTTTCATTCCAAATGAGACCACCGGGAACACACCCCTACATATCAACCCGGTACAAGCTTGCTGAGGCCAATACTCAGCTTAGGCTCCTGGAAACCGGGCCCAGTGTCCCTTAAAGGAGTCTCCAGAAAAGAAAATTGCAAAGCAAATCTATGGCAGTATAATATCCTTGCTACTCAGGAAAAAACCGGCATGTTTCTAAACTCGAAACACTATTGGCCAAGAACTGCGAGCTATAAACCGCAAATCTCGAAAATGCGCAATGCAATTCACCAAAATTTTACAATTCAATCCTAAAATTATTTCCAAAGGCATGCTAAACTCTTAGATACAGATCAATTCTGAAATTCAGTCCAAGTACCCTACTACTACTTTCCACCAGGATTCAAGTACACGGCTAAGTCGTTATGAACTAAAACTACCTATAAGCTCAAAGACCAGGAGCTGGGCAAGAAGAAAAAGCTGTAGGGTTACCCTCCCATCATCAATGGTAAAGAGCCTTTGTTGCCTAGACGGGTTTCCCACCACGCACCCAACGGATACAACTCTAGTTTGCTCTTCACCGGATCTCTCATTTCATCCAACCATTGGTGTTCCCACTTGTCCCGTGCTAACTACTCTTATAATGACCACAATCGACTGACGCTCCCACCACTGACGATGGCACTCACACTGCCCCCGTAGTGCCGCTGTCTATAGAAGAATAAGCTGTAGGGATACCCTCTCATCATCACTGTCCAATCACACTGTAAAGAGCCTTTGTTGCCTAGACGGGTTTCCCACCACGCACCCAATGGATACAACTCTAGTTTGCTCTTCACCGGGTCTCTCATTTCATCCAACCATTGGTGTTCCCACTGCTCCCTCGTGCTAACTACTCTTATAATGACTACACTCGACTAACGCTCCCACCACTGACGATGGCACTCACACTGGCCCCGTAGTGCTGATATAGATAGAAGGATAAGCTGTAGGGATACCCTCTCATCATCACTGTCCAGAACACTGTAAAGAGCCTTTGTTGCCAAGACGGGTTTCCCACCACGCACCCAATGGATACAACTCTAGTTTGCTCTTCACCGGGTCTCTCGTATCATCCAACCATTGGTGTTCCCACTGCTCCTTCGTGCTGGCTATTCTTAAAATGACTGCAAAGAAAACCAACTTGTCAGAAGGCAAAAATAGCTAAAACAAGCAAGAAGAGAAAATCACAAATCTACTCCCATACATCGGAGATAACAATTATCCCTCTCTCTCAATCCTAAGATACTTCAATAGTACGTGTTTCTAAAAACGAAACACTAAGGGCAGCGTCTGCGCCAGAGCAGAGTCAGTAAGAATTTTACTTCTCAAGGGAATCAAGAGACAACTAAGCGATCAAAGACATGCAGAATACTAAAATACGACAGACTAGCCTAGAAACGGCTAAAAAACGGAGAGTACGTATGGTAACCCCGGACCCGGACACCGGACACTTCCGGACTGTCTTCCGGACCAGTGTCAGGACCGGTCCAGACTATCCGGTGATCCGGACATCA